AAAAGCTCGTACAAAATCCCAAATCTGAATTCCATCAACTCCTCTTAACCGGATCGAAGTTGGAGACCCCAACAACCGCACCGGCGATAACAACCAGCACCACTCCGCCGGCCGCTATGCTCAGCAGGAAGTTCTTCAGGGACGGCGTCAGCGTCTCCGCCGCCTGCGCCACTTCCGGCACCGCCATCGACGCCGCCACAGCCACCGCCGCGATTTTCCCGGCAGCCGCCTCCTTCAAGGAGGCTTCGATCCGGAGCTTCGATTGCGCCTTCGTAACCCTAACTGGGATTAATTTACCCAGGCGCAGGGGATTGAAGAATGCGCCGGAACCCGGCAACGTCTGCCGGTTCTTGGTGGCGGCGACGGCCCACGGCAAAGCCATTGAGATTGAGGCCATTTGTTCCTCTTTTTCTTCAATTGATTATGAAAAAAAAAAAAAAAAAATGATAAATTTCTGTTGCAATTCAAGACCTGAAAAAAAATAGAGAGTTGTGTTGGACAGTTGTAGTGGAAATAATAAGAGATTTTTGAGGTTCCTACTTGGCAATTTGTATACCAAGCTTTGAGGGATAAGGCTATCTAATAAGATTCACAAATGAAATTATCAAATGGTGAGCTGCTGGATTTGTCATTTATTTCAAAGCTATATACAAATTCAAGAATTTTGACAGCATATATATATAAATTATAACTCGCATCGGTTCAGTTTTGCATTAAAGAGTTTGGTTCTACACTATGTTTATTTTTTCTTTCATAGTAAAAATCCTAAATTATAATGATTTTGACTATTTTTACTTAATTTTATTCATATCATTCAAAACAAAACTTATCTTTCATATTATCCCATATAAGTAAAATTGGACGGAATTTGGTTTTGACATGATTCCCACAAACAAACTTTGATCTAATTGAATTGACCAACATCTCCCCCAGATGTGAATTTGAATTTTTCTTGTATTTTTTATCCCAACTGAGTAAGTGAGTAACATAAGATGAGATATCACCTAGGCTGTGGCATCATTGTGTATTTCCCTATACCCTTTTTTTTTTTATTTTTTTTTTATTTATTTATTTTTTTTCTCTTCTCTTTCTCTCATGAAACAACTTTCATGGGCTTATGTTAAGGGATAAGTATTTTAGCGGGCTTGGGCCACTGCAAGATCTTTCAGTGAAGTTACAATATAAAATAATTTGGGCCGATCAGTCTCGTAGCCGCTACTGAAATTGAAAATCCGAAATTCAAATAAGACATGTGTTCAAGGTCAAACACAAAGTAATGGAAAAAAGAAAAAAATTCTCATCCGAACTATAACGATTGTTGCGAATCACCATATATATTTTTTTTTTTTACAACCACCACCTGAATTATATGAATTTGTCAAATTGCCCCTAAAATGGATATAAAAGTGATTTTTACTACAAAAAAAAAAATGTTTTTAAAAGCACTTATGTAATTTCATATATTTTTCAAAAAAAGAAAAAGAAAAATGAAAAAGAATGAAGAAACTGGGAGTAGATGGGGAGGAATCTCTTTCTTGGTGGCGTGCTGCTCCATGCGCTTGGCTAGGACATAGCAACACGTACCGATAATTTTCGAGGTCAGCATCTTTGAGATTCTACCTCATAAGCACACCAGCAGTACACTGCAAAAGAATGGTGAATAAGTAATTAACAAATTGTTCAAAATTCTAGACGACTTTACTAGAGCTATGAGAATTACAACTCCTTCATTGCTCCCGAGCGTATATCTCCTTCATTTTTATTTTTTTATTTCTTTAAAACCAGCTTTTTCATTTTTTTAACATATATAAAATTACTGAAATGTGCTAAAAAATCAGTTTTTTTTAGATCAGTTTTTTTTAGTCAAAATTACTTTTATATCCTGTTTAGGAGGTAATTTGATAAACTCGTATAGTTCATGTGGTGGTTTGTTAAAAAAAAGTTAATATGGTAATGTGCAAAAATTGTTATAGTTTCGGATGAGAATTTTTTTTTTCCTAAAATAATTGATTAAACTAAAATATCTGAAGCGGTAATGATCCATTGCTTGAAATTCATTAAGTCGAATTTTGGCTGATTTACTTTGCAACTTATTTGCATGTTTAGGTACTAACTGTATTCAATCAGCTAAATACTAAATAATTAAATGGTGGATTAAAAATGGTATGTTGTTTCAATTTTCTGTAACTAATGTACACTTAATTTGAAAATTGTGTATAGGATAAATGTTATGTAAATAATTCATGTTACTCCCTCACCGAGATCCCCTCCGACGACGCAACAGATGACTGGGCTGAAAAAAAATCTGATGGATCCCCTCCGTATCAACAAACATTCAACAGTGTCGGACTTATTTTCTATTTTTTATTTCACTGGGTCCACTTCTAAGATTCTGACAACTATCAAATAAAACATCGTTTTTTCTCTCTCTTCTTCTACTAATAAAAAAAGAAAAGAAAATTGTAGATATATACTTATATGTTATATAAATTATTACAGGTTATAAACTAAGTATAAATCGAATTTTGGTTGATCAAAAAAATTATTACAGATTATAATTTATTTTTATTTTTTATTTTTTACATTCTGAAGAGTGCTTATAAAGTATTTTACATATCAATATTGTATAGATCGTTGGTATAAAATTAAGTAGAAAATATAAATAAAAAATATAAACAAAATTTAAACATCACAATTGTGGCTGACTACATATGCTGACTACAAACACAACATATACTGACTAATATTCGGATGCCCGTCTTGCATAAGATTTTGATGCTCGTCATTAAGCCTTAACCTCTTTTTACTATAATTGTTGACCTGATCGTTTNGTGTATTATATATCGATGCTATATATAGATCTTTGGTATAATATTAAATAAAAAATATAAACAAAATCCAAACAACACAATTGTGGTTAGATAAAATGTTATGTTAATTAAAAAAAATAACATATACTGAAAATATGCTAACTATAAACACAACATATAATGAAAAAAAAATCGATGCTCGTCTTGAACAAGATTTGACATTCGTCGTTAAGCCTTGCACAACATACACAAAAAATATTATGATGTCCATCTTGCACAAGGTTTGATGCTCGTCGTTAAGTCTTGTACAATATATACTAAAAAAGGTTCTGATGTCACCGGAAATATTTGCACTGATTGTTTCTGCGCCACATTTACTAAGCGATTTTTTCGACCTTCTAACTTTTAGTTTATTATAGAATTGAAGCTTCCTTTGAACAAGCTTCCAGTCAACCTTAGGCTTAATGTTGCAGATACGTACGAGAACTAAACCTCGGTGGTGAGACTTCTCCTTCACCGGGAAAATTGAAATTTTGTTTTGAAGAAGATCAAGACGGCGGAAAATCCTACAGATATGATGACCAAAGTAGTTATGACAGTTAAGTTTAAACATTGTTTTGACTTGGGCCAATATTCTGCATATTTGAGATGGCGTCGTGATGCCATTTAGAGGCAACGTTGATTATTGGATTGACGAGTTGAAGAGGGAGCAAAAATTAGTCTAGGTGGGAAATTGTTAGATTCCGGCTTAAAGTTTGTCCCACATGGATGTATACCAAAAATGTGTTTGATCTTTTTAGTAGAAATATATATCTTGCCTTTGGGTTACAATTTACACCTTATTCTCTTCTCTCATATCTTAAAAGGAAATCCTTGATTAAGAAAATCCTAGTTTGTGAGATATTCCTAGTTATATTTTGTTGGTAAGTTTTAGTGAATTTGGCGGCGGTGCCTGAAAACATAGCCAATATTGGTCAAACTCTGTTATCAATTTTGTGTGTTATTTTTCTTTCTCATATTTTATTTATTTGTGTTGATTTATATTTGTTAGTAGTAGGACTTGCCATTATTTATTGTTGAGGTTTTTTGTCTGTTGCGCTTGTTGTGATACTCTAAGTCCCCAACAAATATGTGTTCATAAACATAAATTCTTATATGGAACGGTCTAATCGTTTGATGAGTCGTCGATTCGCTATACTTTTTTAACAAAAAACTTGTACTATAAAATATCATATTTTTTATTTATTTATTTTTTAAAGTATGGCGTTTCGATTTGAAAGTATACATATATATTAAAAAAAAATATGGCTCTCTAATAGTTCATAAATAAATAAAACAAAGGACGGAGTGTTTAAGAGATTTGTACCGAATATTCATAAATAGATAAAACAAAGGACGGTGTCTTTGAAGAGATTTTACGTTGATCTCCACTCGTACAGTTAGGTGTTCTTGCACGTAATTTAGCGTGGTCCAAAATGCTTAATAGCCATTCAAGATTTCATTAACTTCCCAACATGTCCATTAGGTGAGTCTTGATCATCTTTTCCTTAGCTCTATAAAAATCTATCTATAACCTAATTATGATGTGTATAAATCGGGTGCAACATTGATAATATATGTTACATTTTCTCACATGTATAGTGTTTATTAAAGTCTGTTGTGTTGATTAATTATTGAGCTACTTATGGTTTTCCTTTGTAATTTCGTTCATTTTCCCCAACTATTTTAAAGTTGTGACAACTTTCCTTGATTAAAATAACAACATCTATTCATGATTTTACAATTTTTACGTAATGCAATCACACTTTAAAAGTTGTTAACATATATATATTCGGAGAATGGGATTGAATCACAGTTGAAATAATTGGATCGTGTTTTTATTTCTAAGAGCTAGGAATATTGATATTAATTTAAAATAAACTTTCATCTAATGTGAGTCAATCAATGGAAGCCATATTAAAAGTTTCTAACTTTAATTTATTCTTAGTTATAAGACGAAAAATAAAGTCATGAACTGCACAACGTAAAAATATATATAGCATTTCTCATGAACATGCCAGCAATGACAATCAATAATGAATAGGCAAAGTCTGGAAGAAAAGAATATGTACATTTATAAAATACACTATATATATATAAACACGCACA